GACCAACTTTAGTATTTGCATATCGTTTAAGATTCTCTAATGAATATCTTTCATTAGGTTCCCTGATTATTTCCGAAACGTGCAAAGGAGGTTCGTCACGCACTTTATCTATTAAGCTAAAGAACTTTTTTCCTGCCGCAACCGCATCTTTAGCGTGATCTGCACCCCTTATAGACGCCTTTTCCTCTAATTTTGATAAAGCATATCTATTGAAACGATCTTTACGACCTATAAACTCTGTATCGTTAATGTTTTGTGAAATCTCCCACTCTCGTATAACTTTAGCATTCTTTTCGAAATCAATATTAGTTTCATTAAAGTCACTGTCGTCTAAATAAAATCCATTTTCAATGGCTCGAATACGCCAGCTGAGAGCCTTATCTATATTTTTTTTAAACCCGTATTCGCCAAACTGATAAAATTCAGAAAGCCTGAATTGTGCCGGAGGATATTCGGATTGTGCAGCCTCACTAATATATTTTATACCTTTATGGATTTGTTCTTCATCTCTTGAATTAGTTAAGCTATTAAGGTATAAATCTCCAAGCCGAAGTTGAGCTGCATTAAATCCCCTTTTTGCTGCGTCTTCAAATAACTTTAGTGCAAACTCAATATCTGGCTCAATTACATTAATTCCTTTTTCGAGCGCAACTCCTAAAATAAATGTTTCCCTTACTCCTCCAGTTTCTGCTGCTACTATAAGCTCTTCGATAGACGAATATTCTAGTTTTAATAACTCGACCATTGCATCAGGAAAATCGTTTTCCGCCGCTTTTCTAAACCATCTTTTCGCTAATTGAATATTCTTTTCAACGTGAGGAGAATAATTATTAGAGTAAATAACTCCAAGCTCATATTGCGCCATAGGAAAGTTTTTATCGGCTGCTCGGGTGTATAATTCGGCAGCCTTTTATATATTGATATGGGTTGCGAGTCCTTTTTGATATGCAACTGCAAGATTATTCATTCCAGCTGGTTCTCCTCCATCGATCGAAAGTTTATAATGTTTAAAAGCCTTATTTAAATCTTGTTTTATGCCAAGTCCATTACGATAATGGTTTGCTAGAGAATTGTGCGCTAGTGCAACACCGGGGCAAGGAGTTTTCCCGTCTATAAAAAGAGGTTGTGACACAGCCTTGTTCAGATACTCTAGGGCTTTATTAAAATCAATTTTGCAACCATGGCCTTGTCTATATAGAAGTGCAAGATTATACAACGCCTCGGCGTTTCCTGTCTCAGCGGCTTTTGTGTAAAGGTTGATTGATTTATCATATTTTTTCTGATGTCGATTAATGTGTGCCTCAATTATATACGGTTCATCGGGCTTTTTATCCGAGTTTTGCATTGTTCTTTGAGTAGACTCGATAGAATGCAACTCATCACGCTTACGAAGAAGGTCGGAATTGGCTGGCTCTATTTTAAGTGCCTCTTCTAACTGTTCCCATGCAGTCTTGTAATCACATCGTCTAATTAAAGATTCAACCGTAAGGTAATAGGCAGCGATGTTAACAGGGTCAAGCGTGAGAGCTTCTTCTGCATCTTCGTAGGCAAACATGTACTGATTCATTTTAAGGTT